CAAACACAACCACAACAACAACAACAACAACAACAATAACTACAGCAACAGCAACAACAACAACAACAAGACAAGGGAAATACATGTACACAGATATTGCCGAGAAAAAAACCCAAAGATAAAGGGAAAGCGAAAACATTGACATAATGATCAAACACTGAGGCTACAAAAGCAGATAGCAGAGGCTTGTAACAAGACGAGGGGAGACAGAAGCAACATGAGAAAATGTCGTGTTTCCATAGACAGCAGAAAGAAACAACTTGAGAAAATGTCGTTTTACAGACATCAGACAAAAATAACAGGAGAATAATAATATGTCGTTTTACAAACAGCACAAGGAAATGACATGAGAATATGTCGTGTTCTCGATAGGGAAAATGTCGTTTATCAAAGACAACAAAAGAGAATGACTTGAGAATATGTCGTGTTCTCGATAGAGAACAGAAGGAAAGAGCCAGGAGGAGACGGACGGAGAGAAGACACAGGCCCAGCCAGGCCCCATGTACTGACCATCGACTCCCTCAGACTAGCGCGCCGCTCCAGGAAGGTGGAGTGGTACAGGACGTTCTGCTGACCCGCCCGGGCGCGGGAACTGACCAGTCGGGAGCGGAGCATGCGCCACGGCACGTCTAGGGCCAGCACCGACTCCATCACCTGGCACCAGGCACATGCAGAGATCTCGCCTGGAAGGGCAAGGTGTTAGTTTAGTTCAGTAAGTGTTTAACGGAGATCGTAACTGCACAAGGTCTATTACCCCTCGGGACACTTTACACATTTTCAGTTGGTGGGAAATTTTGAATTTTGCCCCGGGTGCAGGCTGAAGCCTACTCTGATTTATCGATTTAGACCAACAAGGGATCTTCACTTTAATGTGCGCAACTTGCACTCGGGTCCTCCGAGATTTTTCGTCCTTGTTCAAGAAGGCTAGGTGTAGATCTTTCCTATCGTAAGGTCAGGGGTGTGGCTGAAAGACAGCGGTAAGGTGGCAAGGGGTAGCAGTATAAATTTAAAATAACAATTTAAAAAACCCAGTATAATATCACATTTTATTGTAAAGGCCAGTTATGACCAGTCGGGAGCTCAGCATGCGCCACGGAACGCCCAGGGCCAACACCGACTCCACCAGGCACACGCCGAGATCTCGCCTGGAAGGGCAAGGGTTTTTAGTTTACAGTGCGATCAAAAATTCGTGGCGAAACTCTTTGACACATATCTCCTAAACTATCAAACATATGTTTCCCCAACTATATATATATCCGTATGCAAAATGTGTGTGAGAAGCGGGAAGAGCTGTGAACAATCCCATTTTCCACGTGACGAAGAAGTACAGTGTTTTGTATAAATTTATGAAGAAAAGTTTTAAAATCTAGCCTGAAAGGTTGTGGAAAATATGTTTAAGTTAAGACAAATTGATACAAACTACTGCTGTATTAAGTATGAATGACATTGGTTCACCCGTTACAGAGCTATTTGTTGAGGATAAGTTGCACTATGAATTTTTGACCGCACTGTAGTTTAGTTTAGTAAGAGTTTTGAGGCGACCACAATTGCATAAGGTCATATTTTGAGTGCGAGAATCACAAGTTGGTTGCGTTCACATCAGTTCACAGCACGGCTTGTTTTTGAGAAATAACCAGATAAAACTGATAAAAATTAATGGTGAAAGTTTCACCGTAAAAATAATAGTAATTTATCCATTTAATTAAAAAAACAACAACTAAAAAGAACCAACAACCCCCCCCCCTCCGCATATTACATTTTATTGTAAAGGCTAATGACCTTTAGAAAATCGAGAATTCTGTTGGGATCAACGACGGAGAACAGATCTTGTAATTTTGTACATTTAAAATATTTCCTTTGGGTCTCTCCAAAGTCCAGAGATACTGCTACAGCTCGTTCACTTTCGTCTGACTGCGTTTTAAACAAGATAAAATGAAATCGCTCTGTTCAATCTTCTCAGATCTTTGCATACCGGTCAACAAGTTGGATGACCTACAGAATCTTAAAAAAAGCCCATTCAAAAAGGTCCCTGCAAACTAAGATTCCGACTCGTTTTCTTCCCCAACTTTCCATTGGTCAGCTTGTACATTAAGCCAAACATAAAATAATTGCCGGCCTGGATACGGCAGAATGTACAACGACAGCTCGCGATCGTAAAGGATGGGGGGTCATTACACGTCAACCTCTGAGTCAGAGATGACACCTCTAGGTATCCAGGTATATTCTTCAGGTGACCACTTGACCACAGCTCACCTGTCTCCTCGGGGTCCAACTTGGCAAACTCTGCCTCCAGGCACGACTGGTTGGCCAGGATTAACTCTTTCACATTCTGTAAGGCGGACCTCTCCAGGTGGCTGATTCTGTGGGGAAGATTTGGGAGACAATTAGGGGGCATTTACCAAGGGGGACTGATTCTGAAGGGACATAAAAAATGTTGGGAACATTAGGGGACATTTCGGGGACATTTACTATATGTGATTGGTTCTGAGGGGACATTTAGGAGATATTTACCATAGATGACTGATTCTGGGGTGACATTGAGGGAACATTTACCAGAGTTCATTGATTCTGGTGGGAAATTTCAAGAACATTAGGGGACATTTACCAGAGGTACTGATTATGAGGGGACATTTACAACAGGGGACTGATGCTGAGGGGACATTTAGGAAACTTTAAAGTGATATTTGGGTGACATTCAGGGGACATTTACCACAGGTGACTTATTCTGAGGTGACATTTGGGGGACATGGGAGGAACATTTAGGGAACATTTACCACTTAAATTTTTAATTTTTTTTTTACAAAGGTAAAAAGTAAAAAAGTGGGGGACATTAATGGAAGATTGACCAAAGATGACTTATTTTGAGAAGGCATTAAGGTAACCGATTTGGGGGAGGGGGAGGGAGGGGGGCATTTAGGGGGCATTTAGTGGATATTTACCAATGGTAAATACCTCCCCCAACCCCCACCCCCCAATTAAAAAAAATCGTGGTCTAAACCCACCGCTCTGTGAATGTGAGCCGGCGCGACCCGCGACTGGGCGCCATGTACTGCACCAGCTGTACTTCCGGTACTCCGGGCTCCTGCTCGATCTTCACCTTGTTCGTCTGCCGCATGACCTTGGCATAGGCGCCCTTGTTGCTGTTCTCCTCGTAGTAGCCAGAGGCCGAGAACACAGTCAGCAGCTGGGGCGGTAGCAACACGTCATCATTATACTATATATACATGTATTATACACATGTCAACATTATATAATACGTAAATATTATACACACGTCAACATTATATATATGAAAATGTGGCGTCGGTGGCCTAGTGGTTAGGCTACGGGACTCGTAATCGTGAGGTTGCAGGGTCGGAGGTTCCTTGGCAAAGACACTTTACACGAATTTTCCTCACTTCAACCAGGTGGGAATGGGTACCCGGCCATAGGCAGCGAAAGATCTTGTCAGTATGTTAGTGTTTTAGCACCTAGATTATAAATGGCCGCTTGCACTGTATGCTTCCCAGGAAATTGAGTTTGTTTCAGAATGCTCTCAGGTCTGTTGGGGTAATAGTATAGATTGTGAAGCGCATAGAGCTTGCTGTTGAGCGGGGATTTGCGCTTTACAAATGCTAGGTATTATTAATAAATATCACACACACGTCAACTTTGTATATATGTAAATATTATACACACGTCACCATTATATGTATGTAAATATTATACACACGTCAACATTATATATATTTAAACATTATACACAC